GTCCGCGCGCGCATTGATTTTGGCCTGTTCCTAGGAAAAAAAAACAAGAAATTCCGCTTCCTGTAACTATGACTAGAGTCACGACAGTGCCGCAAATCGTCAGATCGTGAAACCCGTAATGCCGAAAGCCTGTGCCTGGTTAAAAAAATGAAAACAAAAATTAAAAAAACAAACAAAATGGCACTGAAAAAAATCCTGTCAATAGTTCCAAAACAGTTCCGTTTTTGGAACTATTAACAGACAGGATGGTCCTGTCAGCAGTGCAATATTTCTTATCTAGGCGTCTTGTTTTTTAGGGCCCTTCTTGTTTTTTTTTCGCCCTCTCGCATTAGATTTAGGGTATCCAAAGGACGTCATCCATAAAATTTACTTGGTGTGGCCTAATTAAATTTCTCTATAACTTGTTTGGTGGTTCAGTGTTAACTGGAGAATTCTAGAAAGCAAATAAGGTTAAGAGAAATGTATGTGAGAGAGATACTATAGATTGTTAGATATTTTTGGTGTCTAGAGAAACTCTTATTAGCCGATGGATAAGGAAAGAGCTGGGTTCTGTTTGGAATGCATGGAAGAATTTTGGGTGAAAAATTAATTAAAGACTGTTTGACACCTGATGCTGTGTTGGTGTAATCTTTACGGTCGTAGAAATTATTCTACTGTAACAAATTAAATCTTTCCGTCTGGCCCTGTCAACTACAAAAATTAAGAGCATCTTGTAACACAATATATATCCATGTACAGGGCAGGTTTTATTAAAAATAATTTGTATGGATGACATCAGCGTAGGTATTAATTTTCGCCTGATTTAAAAAACAACAACAAATTTTGTTGCCCTTTGTTTCCATACTTCCAATGAAACCACCACCAACATGAAAACTCCACAGCACTCCAAACCCGAAAAGATACACCCAGTAATGACGATAATGACGTCTAGTGTCGTGACTATGTCGGAAAATTTCCTTACCGTGTAGTACTCCGACTTAACGTATCACACACATCCTTTGGTTTATATACCAGCAAAATAAAAGTCAAACTATATACAGTAGCACATCTGGGACAACTCAAACTCATGCATGACGAAGGTATGAGATCATCGACCTCTTGTTACTTAGTACATTGAATCGCAGGCAACCATTTAGGTTTTATTCAATGAGGAAAAGTGCCTTGTCTACCAATGGCGGGCTCTATTCGCACTATTTGGGGGAACATTCCATTCCAAACGCTATCTCTGTTTAACATATTATAGTCAAATCACCCTATCCTGACAACAACAACATCATTAACAATACCCCGACATGGTTCACATCTGTTCTATTTCTGCTGCGGTATTCAATGCCCTGCGTTGTCCGGCGACGTAAGAGATTATTTGATGCGTATCAATCTTTTCTTTTCTGTCTACTTGCTGTGACGTCTCTTTAACCACTCGAGACTTCGACTGGCGAAAGACAGACAACCTTTGGGCTAGCACCTGTTTGTAGCGAGTCTACAGAGTCAGTCAAGAAGATAAATGTGCCAACCGCTGACATATTTCATGTGGGACTGGTAGTATGGAAGTCATTCTTCAAAAGAGCTGACGTGGGACTTGTTGACTGAATTTTTATGTGTCGGAGAGACGGCGGCATTGTTTTTGTTTGATTTCCACCTGTTTGGACCTTGTAGGGGGCCGGCTGAGAAGAAGCCAGGATGACCAATCTTAAGAAACTAACGATCGTGCTTGGGAGGAAGCCAGAAGCTCGCGAAGAAGACGCGAAGGAAGAGCCCCATCTTCCCGATGAAGGATTGAAACTTGTCCGCTGCTCGCCGAAAAAGATGCCTCGGGCGCCGCCAAACACACCGGCGGCGAGGAAAAAGGAGAGACGGGAATCGAACTTGGACCTTGAGAACCCAAGGCACAAGGCCAAAAGGGTGAAGGACAGAGGCGAACGGTGGCTTGTCGATGTCGTAGAAGGCGACAGACTTTCTGGGAATAACCGAGTGAGTATGAGAGTACAGCGTGCCAACATCCTTCCCAGACTAACCCTTCCCCAGTTGTCCGGACACTTCATGCTACAACACCACATCTGTCAGAGATACCTAACTCACGCTACAACAGACGATAACAACGTGCAGTTCCCGGGCATCACCCGCTCCAACAGCATCGTCAGACGGCCTAAGATAGCCCGGAACGGAGAGCTCCGCAGTCTGTGGGAGGAAGAGAACGATACCGGACACGGACTGTTCCTGTCTAGATACAGAGATGGACCAACAGCGACAAAGGACGGATCCAAAAAGAGTAACAGAGGAGTAAGACAAAGAAAACGCATTTACTACGACACGGGGAGGTCTTCCTTGTCTGTGTCGGGAACGAAGAAAGAAATTGAGGGACCGGGAAGTGATTTTTATCATTCCCCGGCGCACGAAGCACAGTCGATGTACCAACGTTCTTTGATGCGAAATTGGGCGAAATTCTGTCGCATGTGAAGGAACGCTACGGATTTTGGAGTGTGTATTTTGTATTCTCTGTGGAATTGCCGTGGCTGTTTGACTGATAGATAAAATGACGCCACGCCTAAATGATGTGTATTGAAGCCACAAATTACCTAAATATAGTTAGAGCCGCAGGGCAACAAGTTTGTACCCACCTCATGAATTATGCAAAGTTTGTGGCACCATTGTCTGTGTGTGTGACAGGTGCCTAAAGAAGAGAACATTTTAAGCCAACAGTACGTGCTCTAAAATGGACTATGTTTTGACTTAACGGTTTCGTATTAAATATTTAAAAAAAGAATCAGCGGTAAACCTTACAACATGATGTTATCCGCCGAAGCTACTATGCTGTTAAACTGTTTGATGCTGCTGTTACATAGTGATTTTGTCGATACTTTTTGTATTAAATGAAATCGTGTATGTGACGTATTTTTCTCAGTTTTTTGTTAATGCAAAAATGGAACAGACGAAATAAAAGGGGCATTTTATATACGTGAGCTTTGTTAAATGGGCATTATTAAGCTCTAGTCTTCCAGGCCTGTTTGCCCTACACAAAAATTGTAAATGTTGGATTAGTTTGAATGTCTCATGTGTAGTGTAGTAATCTAGTTAACCAGGCTTGAAGTCCCAAGCTCATGATCAAGATTGACGAGTTATTAAAAAAAACGGCACGCCGTCTCGATGCCTGCGTTCCTAGGTTACTGAGCTTTCACTAAACGGTGAATAATTAAAAAATCCCAGACAAAACGATATACACATAACATCGTGGTAGATGTCATTTGTAAATGACACGTCTTTCCAATTGATCTAAAATTTGATTTACGACTTGGTATCAAATATTAATAAAGATAGCCACACGCACACAACCGAGTGTGCTTAATTTTTCGGCAAGTAATTCCGTGCAAACATGTCGTGCTAATTGCTTGACAACCATACCGTGGGTATCATGACCAGAAACGCAAACATTTGTGAGAGAGAGTAAAAAAAAACATGCCGCTTTTACCGCTTTTAAGAAAACATCGCTAAGAGAAAGGTACAGAGGCTGGATGAAAGCTTGCATTACTGTGGGTGTTTATTCACCTCCGTTGTCTTTATCATTAAGTAAACATTTTAGACAAAAAATAAACACTAAAGAAATCGTCTTAACTTGCTGGTTTTATCCGCTTATGTCTTTGATATCCCCCGAAAGAACTTAAATTTTCCACTGGAAGAAGACCCTTGGGCGACCTTTTTTGTGCGACCAAAATTGGATCTATGTGAACTGTGACTCCATATAAATAGATCCATGGTGTAAAAAGCTGTTGTGAAAGACAACAAAACATGCAAAGTGCAATTCTTTGTCGATGAAATTCGCTTGAAGGACTGAGGAGATTTTGGTCGCTCTACGGTCGTAACGCTCCACAGTTTAAAGCTTAAGGAGGTGATAAAAGGTTGATTTGGAAATCGTTAGAGTATTGTGATCGGCTTCATCTATTTTGTTAATTTGAAAAGCAATTGGGTAATCGTTACAGTCCTTTCGACCAATCTCTCATGCCCACTAGCTTCAGAGAAGTCGGAAAATAAGGATAAAGTGGCAAGTAATGTCAACATAAAAGTACCAACATTTTAGCGGTCCAGTCTTAACGTATGCCTACTAGTATATTTGTCGGATACGCTAGCTTCTACCAGGCTTCGGGAGGCGGCTGGAAAGAGTAGAAATCGACCAAAGAGAGAGATAGCATGCCAGGGGAGTTGGTCCGCTAGAGAGTACATTTTGCCGGTCAAACTGTTCTCTCCAGCAGACCAACTTCCCTGGCATGCCATCTCTCTATTTGGCCGATTTCTACTCTTTCCAACCGTCTCCCGAAACCTGGAAGAGGCTAGCATACGCAGCGATACGCAGCGACACCTGGCGACCTGTGCTCAAACAACAGAACATAAGAGGTGCAGACCGTACAGGTGAAGAATGGACGAATGCCTATATTTGGATACGCAGACACCTAGCAACGTGTATATGCTCAAACAACGGAACATAACGTAAAGAACGCCTCACGTCACTTCATTCGTTTCGAACACAAACGCGTTATAATCATTCTACTGACGATACAAACTCAACAGGCTTCGCCATGGCGCTGTGGAAAAAAGGTCAGACTACCCAAGAAGAAGCTGTCACCATGTCTGCATTAAGAGAACTCCTTGAGAAACAGAAGGAAGACTTTGCCAACCTCTTGGATCAGCAGGAGAAGAACTTGAAATCGTTTGTGGGAATGGCTACGGATGCGACCAATCAGCGAATTGAAAGCCTTGCGCGCGAAGTGCGGGGAGTTAGTGAGAGTCTGCTGCAGTACTCGCAAGAGGAGGTAGAGGGAGTGAACGCATCGTCCGCGCAGCGGGAGCAGCGGCTCAAGGAAATTAAAGCAAAACTCGAACGAGCCAAGACAAAAATCCCAAAGAGAGCCGAACGCACGGAGGACCAGTCCGGCCGTACTGACGATCAAATGGACGTTACTGTTGTACAACACCCAGACGGAGCCGGGAACTGTGACCAGGGTGATCAACCTGTTGCGGCGGTGACTGAGAAACAGAACGACGGCGGAGCGGACGGGACAGACAACGGGCATTACAGTGACATGTTACAGCTTTTTGTGAGGAAACTCGCGGGAAACACCAGAATCTTAAGGATCCACAAAGTATTTACACATTCTTTCACAAGTATGGGAAACATAGGGTGCTTTCCGTTATTGTGGCCAGTTTTTTTTTTTCAGATTGGTCACTACACTGGTTGGTTAAATCTGATGGAGACATGGCTGTGAAATTGTACGTTTATATGACGTAATTCGTCTAAAAAATTCAACTTTACCTGACAAATTCCAGGTTTAACCACCCAGCATGGCGGGCAATGCTGATGTCACGTCACGTGGTTTGTTTGTTTGTTGTTTGTTTGTTTTGCTTCATTCTTCTCTACTTATGATGTCGTGAAATTTGCTATCGCTCAGTGGAAATCGTTCATCAGAAAAATAGGTGAAATTTTGTACTTCATAGGTTAAATGTTGTACTTTTTAGTCATCCGAACGAACAAGAAACCAGAGAGCGTTGTTCTGTAACAACGATGTTCCATGATGCTCGAACTTTCATGACCTGGTTTGCCCTGGTCTTTCGGAAAGTAGAAAATATATACTGGAATGTTGTTGCAACGGGAATTTTCGGTCAACAGCAATAACGCTGGTGTGGTAGGGACATGGCTGTGCATAAAAATGTCAACCATTCTGCAAAAATTGAGAAACACTCCATTCTTCACTACTATACTTCATACATGTAGTGCTATTTTTATCACGTTCTGTACGTTCTGTGTTGTGTTTTTAGTAGCGTTTGTCCGTCTGTTTGTCTGTGAACTGCATAACTCAAGAAGCTTAAGTTTTATTTCATTATTTGCATTGTCATGAAACTTGGTAGGTGGGCGGGTCTTGATGAGACCTAGAAATGATTAGATTTTGGGCCCCCTGGCGGCTTTTCTTGGTACTGCAGCAGAACTTCCGGTTTTGATATCTCGCGATCTGGACATGCTAGGGTCACGAATTTTGGATGGTAGAGAGCTCTTGGGCTAGGGAATAACTGACACGTTATGAGTAGTCTGTTCTGGAATTGCAGGTGCATTTGTTAAAAATTCTTTGAAGGAGGATAACTTTGACTTTATTAGGATCCACATGTATTAGCGTACAAACTGTAGCTATTCTCCCTGTGGTCCATTCTGACATGTACACACATACGACACAGGGAATATATCAAACATAAACTAACAATAGCAAAAATACTAACAAGAACAGGTTGATGGATTGTCGTGATTTTGCTATGTAGGTAACTGAAGTGATGCTTGACATAATTAGATTGCACTTATGCAAATCAGGAGCTAATTTGCATAACTAATAAGGAAATTCTATAAATCTGCTTCATTCGACAATAGGACCATGAAACACTTGTAACATGTAAATGAGAACTAGAGGAACATCTGAAGATATAGATTATGTGAATGAAGACCTACTATTATATAATTTGCATAATTCATAGGAAATTGCTGTAATTCCATAGTATTAACTGCTGGGCATTTCATCATTGCCGCATTTTAGGTTAGGTGAAGGAGAACACCAATAAACATAATTTTTTCAAATCATGGCCTCATTTGCATAATTTATCAAGAAGTGATAGAATAGCCTATTTTGCTAAGATAAGGTTGTCATTGACGCATTGTTTAAATAGTACATTACATTCTGATTATATACTCAAGGAATACACAGTTCCAATCATGGTCACTCAACGGTCGCTCGGTGATATCCGTGTAGTGGAAAACTAGCCTTACGACACACATTTACATGTCTCTTCTTGTAGGACTCCACAATGGACAACCTGTTCAAAAGGGTGAGTGAGAAGACCTGCATACCCGTCAAATACCTTCGCATCATGTGCGACAGCAAACAACTGGAGTACAGCGAGTGGAAACGTCTGTCTGACTACAATATTGAGAACCTGTCCACCCTGCACGTCCTGCTGCGGCTGTCGGACTGTGTGAGCGGCGAGCCGTGCTCGGAATGCCACCCGCTGTCTCCCCCGCGGGCCAGGAGAGAGCTGGAGGAGGACGTGGATACCTCCTCCAGTGACTCTGACCCGGAGGAGGGGAGCGACATCTGGCGACTCTCTGTCGTGTGTAACGATGGGCGAACCAATGCCATAAACATCCATAAGGTAATACTACACTAATAGGCCGGTCCCGACGGTGCATCACAATTAGCATAAAACAAAATACGTTTATACGTTCAGCCAATCAGAAAATGGCAATTAGCGCAACAACCAATGAGAGAGTCGCTGTATACTATCCGCCAAATGCTTGCTTATATATATGTTATGTTCTTATTTTGCGTTTCAAAGTTTTGACACAAACGGGCTGGGCCATGGGAGTGAGTGAGTGAGTGAGTGAGTGAGTGAGTGAGTGAGTGAGTGAGTGAGTGAGTGAGTGAGTGAGTGAGTGAGTGAGTGAGTGAGTGAGTGAGTGAGTTAGCGAGCGAGCGAGCAAGTGAGTTTAACAGTGTCTGTGTGTGCACGTTGTCATGACTACTAATTATATGAGTCATTCATGATGCCTACTGAGGTATATCTTCTTGCAGGATGCCTCAGTGGACGACTTGATCCACAAGATCTGTGACAAGAAAAACATGTCCATGGATCCGGAGTTCTTACGTTTCCTGTATAAGAGACAGCTACTGGAGTACGGCCAGGGAAAATATCTCTCCGACTTCGACATCCAGGACAAGTCCATTGTTCACGTCACCACTCATCCGATATGGCAGGAGGATTCAGATTCGGATTGATTGATAGACAGAAGATGAACGGTTTAGACCGATCCTGATTGGCCATCACAATGAGCGGCTCAACCAATGAGAGGATGGCAATTAGTGGTTCGGCCAATGAGAGAGTGGCTAATTAGCATTTATACGTTTTGGTTTTAGGAGGTGGGCGGGGCTTTGGGATCGGTCTACAACGTTATTCAAAGGCTATGTAACCTTCCTATGAGTAATGCACCCAACAATGGTGGTTAATTACTTATATCCATGAGTACTTCGTTATTACGACCACAGTTTTGTCAAGGTTTCGGGTTTGTGAGAGTTTGCCCCATCTTATAGCATGGGGGGGGGTCGTATATTAGATGAGTATTGCCAGTTTGGTTGCACAGTTTGTGGCAATGTTCATAGTCCTAAAACAGTTCTAGATAGCACTCTTGGGAATGCGAAATTACAACGTGACTTTACATTTGTGTTGGCAGAGGTATATATATTGAAGTCAAAGTTATTGCTGTCAAAAACACGCTGACGCCTCTTTAGATCTTTTAGATCGATAGGTTTCAGAATATTCAGTTGTTCTAGGAACGTTAGGCCACACCGACTTGGTAGTTACCACACCCAGGCTACCGAAGTTCCACTATACATACCTACAGTGCCGATTCATTTTTGAAATTCTGCAAAAAGCCAGCATGTGCCGGCTTGCCGCATACGTCGCTATGTACTGCCGCAAATTCAGGATAACAGCTTTGTATTCTTGTGGTTTAGTAGCATTTTGATTTTTGGCCGGATTTTTTTTTATTCGCCCGCGCGCACTAGTTTGGGGGGTATTCAGAGGATATCATCCATAAAATTAAGGCGGTGTGGCCTAACATCGATATCAGACCAACTGTTGTTCTAGTTTCAGCTGAAGATTTCAGCTTTGGCCATTGTGGTTCTAATACAATACTCATACCACAGGCGTATCTATTGGAAACAAATAACAATAAAACGCGTTACAACAAATTTTATTCTCATTCTTTCAATATAGGTACAGCTGACATGCTACATAGTGAAGAAAGATAACATTGAATAGTGCTGTCGTCCAAAGAAGATATTGTACTGGATCGACCCACTATCTCATATTATACAAACGGTAGCTTGTATTTGGTTGATACTATTTTCATCCATTGTAGGAGTTTGCCGTAGATGAATTAACATAGGGCGGCACCTAGCAGTTCGCGATCAAACTACATGACCTGGTTTTCATATCAATGCAGGTAGTTTTCTCACTGCTTAATTATTGGATCAATCCGCCAATGACGTCACTACACCCCATATAAGGGGCTGATAGCCCATTCACATTGCGCATTTACTGGAAACATCCCCCGGACCGGCTGGAGTTGCAGCGTCGTGGAGGTCTACCGTCCAACCAGCACGACAGCGTTTCGACAAGGAAGGAAGCACGGAGCGGAGACCGGAGTGCCTGGGGGAGAACTGCAAGGATTCTCGCTGACCAGTTTGGTCAAGGTTTGGCTAGTGTAGACGGTAGTGAGAGTCCAGAACTTTCGGCGTGTTTTTGTGGCGCCACGGTTAGCG